CTGTCATTTGTCCTCGAGTTCCCTCGAAGGCTCTCCTGGTCCTTGAGCTCTTAAGCAGGTTTGAGAGGGCTCGGGAAGGTTCTTGACTTCAAATGAATGTGTGGAGTGCTCTGGTGGGCTCTGGGGTGGATGTGTTCAGTGCTCAGGGGTATCTTAAGTGTTTACGACTGCCTTACAGGGCCCTAGGGCGCTGTAGTAGAGAGCACCAGGCGGTTTGAGCATGCTCTGGAAGGCTTCAGCGAACTCGAGAAATGTGCTCTCGAGGGCTATACACGGCACCACGATGCTCTCGACAGTCCTCGGGGGTCGAGGCACCTCTATGCGGCTTCTACAATGATCCAGACGGCCACCGAGGATCCCAGAATTCTCATGAGGGGGTAGGTGGATCTAGAGGTAACCGAGTACAACGCTTCGAAAGACAAGAGCATGCCTCAGGATTCCCTCGAATCTTCCTCAAAAAGATTATAGAGGGATCTCGCAGGCTCCCGGAAGAGGACTCTTCGGACGCCCTACAGGGTTGGGAGAGAAAGCTCTACGGGGCGCCAGTTGGCTCTACTGGATTCCAGATTCCTCTAGGATGGTCGAAGGGGGCCAGGAGGGCTTAGGAGGTCTCCCGGTGAGGCGGGGGAAAAGAACCCTGCGCGGGCGATAGTAATACGCGGGGGAGAATCAACTTCGGGGGTTTGGCGGGGAGAATAACGAATTTTCCCGGGGAAGGTAAGTGATGATGATGATGATGATGATGATGATGATGATGATGATGATGATGATGAAGATGAAGATGATGACGATGATCATGATGATGGTGATCCTGGGCGCTCGGCACAAGCCCTGGTGAGAATCCCACAGCCCTAGTGGGAGAGACTGATGTGGTGAGACCACCATGGCCATGCTCAGCGTTTTTGATGCTGTTGCTAGTCAACATGAGATGATAGCAACTTCGATTCGCAACTTCCCCCATGGATCATAAAGTTCGGCCTCCGCGCCCCTCTCCACAATTCAATCCTGGTAAACAAGGATAATAAAAATCGAGCGGATTAAGGGGGGGGGGCATGATTATCGCCCGCTCTCGGCTACTGGTTTAGACTGCGCTGGAGGCTCTGGAAGGCCCGGGAGGGCTCCGGAGCGTTCTAGAATGCGCGCCAGGGTTCTAGGATGCTCGGCTCGGGTGACCTGCACTGGATGTCTGTAGAAGGAACCACAATGCTATCGAAAACCTGGGGAGTTCTTTACAACCGAAAATTGCCTCAAGAATGACCCGGACGGCTCTAGAGGGCTCTAGAATGCTGTAGAGGGCGCTCGAGGGATCTAGCGGGCACTCGAGTGCTCTCAAGGGAATAAGTGACTGTTGAAGGCGTTGCAGGATCCTAGTAGTTCTGCACCAGCATCAACTAACATCTTAAGGTGGGACCCCTGAACCCCTCCACGTTTCCTTATCCCTCCTCCTACTGCTCCGCTGTATTCCACCACCTCCTGCTCGTTCCCCCTCTCGATGGTACCCTCGTCGTCCTGCTTCTTCTCTGCGCGCTGATGATCCCCCTCTTTTCCGACACCGCTCTCCCGCCTGCGGGTTGTACAGCCGAAGGTGCTGCTCCTTCCGCTCCAGCACGGCCTTAGATGCACTCCCTCGATCCAGGCTGAGAAAAAGAGGAGGCGGGGGGGTGGTCAGGGGGAGCGGGAGGAGTAACGGGAGGAGAAGGAGGGGGAGGCAGGGAAGAGAAGGATGAGGACGGTGATACATCATTGAGAAGAGGAGGAAGAGGAGGAGGCAGGGCAGAGAACGAGGACGATGGTGACACATCATTGAGAAGAGGAGGAGGAAGAGGAAGAGGAAGAGGAAGCGGAAGCGGAGGAGGAGGAGGAGGAGGAGGAGGAGGCCGAAAGTGGGGGCATCTGGAGATGAGGGGGAATCCTGCTCGTTCGATGCCTGCTGCCCCCATTGGGCGCCTCGCTTGCTTGCTTTGTTCTACGGCCTCCCAGTGGCCTTCTGCAGTGTTCGAGGGGAGGCTGCACTTAGCCAACTAGTCATGTGACTACGTAAGCTCCTGGGCTCTCACCCAGGCCAGTGCAACGAACCAATGGGCTCGGGATTGCCATGATGAGTCAACGGCAAGCAAAGATGACGAGGAGGACGAGGGGCATCAGGAGAGGAAGGACCTGGTTCGGACCTCTCCCCCTAAGCCTCCTCCTCATCCTACCCACGATACTCCTGCTTCGTCTTCCCTCTTCTGCCCCTTCACCCTCCTCCTCCCCTCCACTCCTCCCCTCCTGCTCCTCCTGCTCCTCCGCCTCCTCATACGTCTGCGCTACCTCCACCCTCCTCTCCCTCCGCGTACGCCTCCGCAACCTCCGTATCCGCCGCACCTCTCCAACTCCAACTCCGCGCCGCGTCGCCGTCCGTCGCTACCGCTGTCGTCCCAGACCGCAGACGCCGTGACTTTTTCGCAGCGTCGACCCCTGGAGGTCTGGGCCCCTTCCCCGGGACCGGCTCTTCATCCCGAGATGGTTTTTGACGCTCCCGAGGCCCGATATAAGGACTCCCGGAGGCCGAAAATGGCGCACAACCTCCCGTCTTGACTTTTGCGCGGCGCGAGGGGGTCCGGGGTCGTCGTCGTCGTCGTCGTCGTCGACGCCAGGGCCGGCGCCACCGTCGCTGCCGCCGACCGCCGCCGCCGGCGAGGACGCCACCTCTGGAGGAGGAAGAGGGGGAGGAGGAGGAGGAGGAGGAGAAGGAGGAGGAGGAGGAGGAGGAGGAGGAGGAGGAGGAGGGGGAGGATCAGGAGGAGGAGGAGGAGGAGGACCAGTGGAAACCCAAGAGTCAGCAACGATGTTGGAATTAACACTCTCTCCAAGCTCCCTCTTCACAGGCCCCCTACAACGTTCCATTTCAATTGGGGGAACTGCCTCGTTGGCAGACAGCGGTTTGAAGATCCTGAAGCGTGCCGAAACATTGTTCTCAGGATTGCAACGCCACGTATCAACCTGACTGCTGTGTCTTGACGATCCAGAATCGTACAGAACGCCATTTTGGCGGTTTCAACAAGGTGAATCCATATAACTCATGCGCCCGCATAATCCTGAACCCTTCCAAAACACCATTTCTGGTACGTTGATCATGGGAATCCGTAAAACTCTTCAACTGTTGAAAAGATGTGCGCGGCGCTGAACCGAGAACCACATTTTGAAAAGGTACCGCCCTCAACCCGTGAAACTCTTGCAAATGTTGACAACGAATGTGCGCGGCGCTATGGCGAGAGCCACATTTTGGAAACCATGCACCCTCAATCCGTGGAACTTCTGCAACTGTTGGAAAGATATGCGCGACGCTAAAGCAAGAAACACATGTTGAAAAGGGACCGCCCTCAATCCGTGAAGCTCTTGCAAATTTTGAAAACGAATGTGCGCGGCGCTAAGCCGAGAGCCACATTTTGAAAACCAACCGCCCTCCACCTTTGAAACTGTTGTCACTCTTTAAGCTCCAGGGCCGTCAATCGTGGGGAAGTCTCAGGCGAAACGCCCGGCCCGCCAAAAAAACTGGCCTCGGGGTGCGACAGGGAGGAGTTATCTAGAAGGAGAAGGAATGGAGGAGCAGGAGGAGAAGGAGGAGGAGGAGGAGGAGGAGGAGGAGGAGGAAACGAGGACGCCGTCGCCGCCGCCGCCGCCGAGAGGGGCGCGAGGCCCGCGGGAGCGGCAGCGGCTCGCCCCGCTCGTCGGCGAAGCGCGCCAGCAGCCGCTGCAGCTCCGCGGCGGAGGGCCGGTGGGCCGGGTCCTCGGCCAGCCCCCTTACAGACGAAGCCAAGACCGAGACCCCCTCGGGGAGTGAACAAACTCATGGCGGGAGGTTGTTCCTAACTTTCGGCCGCTGGAGGCCCTTACCGGCCCTCGGGACCGTCAAAAACGAATCAGGATGGTGAACAGGTCCAGGGGAGTGGGTCGAGACCTCTCAGGGTCGACGTTCTGAAAAAATCATGACGCCCGGGTCTGGGGACGAGGATCAAAGGATAGATCGAATCTCTGAGATCTGGCGGCTCTGGAGGATGTCTCGGGCGCCGCGGCCTTCTCAGAGCGTTCTGGAACGCTCTGAGAGCGTTCCAGAACACTCTGGAACGGTTATCCTCGTCCTAGCCACGTTAGACCCTTGGCGCTCCCCGCCGCCCCTTGGCGCCCCAAACGCCCTCGCGTAGTGACAAAAATCACGACTGGAAATTGCCCGGCCCCAGGACCGTCAAAGAACGACTCGGTATGAACAACGGGTCCCAGGGTCGACGTTACGAAAAAATCACGACGTCGAGGGTCTGGGTTGGCGCTCTCTGCCGCCAGGGGGTTGCGGCGCAAGCGGCGCAAGCGGCGCTGGCGCGGTGGCGACGGCAAAACGACGACGGCGACGACGGGGGCGGCAAGTGAGCATCCTTTAAGTATCCGATCCCTATCCCCAGCGGCGTGGCCTGGTTTTCACTGGCCGATGCAGCCCTCTAGATGGGGGCATAGGCTGTTCCCTTCGGGTTTCAAGGGGCACAGGGTGCTGAGATGCTGGGGATCTGGATAGTTGGGGACGGGGGTGATGATGGAGAGCGATACTGAGCTGGGGCGACTGCGATGTGGAGAACTACTGCGACGGGACGCCTCCTGGGCGCCTTCTGGGGCGTCGTGGAGGCCTCTTGGGACGTCTTGGGGCGGTCTTGGGGGCCTCTTGAGCCGCCGTCGACGCCGTGAAAGCCGACAAAGCGCATATGCTAAAAATATACGCTTTCCTCTGGAAAATCAATGATTTCGGCCTCTTGGGACCCTCTTGGGACGGCCCTTGGGCGCCTCTTGGGGGCCTCTTGGGGGACGGGAACCACGAGGGCGACGCCGACGACGGGGGCGGCAAGAGCGACTGGGGCGTGGAGAAGGAGGGCGGCGGCGGGTCCTGCGCCAGCAGCCAGCGGACCAGGTCGTGCAGCCGCTCGGAGAAGGGCTGGCGCCCGGCCTCGGGTGGGGGGGGGGGTCCCCACGCGGGCCCTCTGAGCAGGTCTTCGTCGCCTCTTGCTACCACTACGTGCCTCGGGAGGCTCGAAAGACTGGCGAAAGGTCATCATGCAACCAGGGACACCGCACCATGAACCCGCCGCTGCAAATAAGAGAGGAAGGGGATAGGTGGCGGGCTTGGACCATGACACCCGGGGTCATCACCATCATCACTAGTCATGTTATGATCGTCAAGCTCCTCGTCATAGTGTTGATCCACCTCGCCATCCTCCTGCTCTGACCCCGTCAGAAGGAGTGAAGAGGACGAGTGCGAGGACGAGAGAGATGAGGTAATGATGAGGAAGGGGATGGGCACGGGAATCAGGGGACGATACACCACGAGGATGAGGATAAGAAGAGGAAATACGGATAAGGAGGAGAAAGATGAGGACAATGACAAGGGACGTAAGCATACCCAGTGAGGCATGGAGGAGAAGAACGGAGGACGAGCGAGCGAAGAGGGACAAGGCAGGATGACGAAGGATGAGGCAGAGGAGATCCCGTGAGCGAGGATGAGAACAAACAATTTAAAGGTTGCCATCGCTCGGACATCCATTACCAGTTCATTTCTCTGCTTCTTGCGATTTTTTCTCGCAGGCTCATCGGTGGTCCTCGCCGCCACAAAAAAAAACACACGTCAGAGCGATGCCAAGACAACACGAGGAGACGGGGAGGGCGACAAACAGGGGGGGGAAGAACGATGCACTTCTCGGGCTCTGCAGGGCCTTTTTCTCTGCAGCCTTCGGGGCCCTCTTGGGGGCCCTCTCAGGGGCCCTCTTAGGGCCCCTGTTCTGCAGCCCTCGCTGTCCCCCCACTTACCGCCACCCCATTCGGCGACGCCCAACAACACGAGGAGAAGGAGGGGCCGGAGGGACAGGAGACGCCCCCTCCGCACGCTGCGGGGGGCGCCTGGCCTCAGGCGGCGGGAACTCGAAGCGGGCGTTGGTGATGGCGAGAGGGGACTCGCCCTGGAAAGGGTTCCTGCGGTCCAGGAGGCGGGAAGGAGGATGAGTGGGAGGAGGAAGTTGGATGGGCAGGATCACGAGAAGGGGGCGGAGGAGGAGGAGGAGGAGGAGGAGGAGGAAGAAGAGGAGGAGGAGGAGGAGGAGGAGGAGGAGGAGTTCATGGGCGAAAAACGTATCCGTATCCGCGGCCTCGCGGGCTGGGCCTGAGGGCTGCGACCCCGCGGATTCGTTTTTTTGTTTTGTTTGTTTGCGGATGCCGTGAAGAGGGCGCGGACACGGATATGTGCGCCGCTCGTGAAGAGTGGAAGGAGGAAGGTGGATGGGCAGGAGGGGTGTGCAGAAGAGGGAGACTGCGTATGAACAGAGAGGGGGCGGGGGGGCAGGGAGATGGGGGAACAACTATACATGATAGACATGCCACATGGCACGCGTGCGTGCTAGATGCTACTTCACACATGGAATAGCTTCAAAGCGATGCTTGGGATGAGGACGCGCGGCGCACACTTTACCGAGAGAAGAAAAGGCGCAAGATACACACTGCCAGTCACAACAACAATCTATCCATTTCTTTCTCGCTTGCCATTGACAATGTAAGGCGTGAGTCCGAATTCCTGTGTTCCACACCATCTCCGTGTATGAACGTACCCCCTCGGATGGACTCCTGCTTTCGTGCCACCTCCTTGGGGAATCCCGCCAACCCAAAACGGGAGCTTCGGGCATGCGGACCAGCAGGAGGGTTGGGCGGCCGGATCCCGCGGGGCGGGCCAGGCGGGCGGATCCTGACGACGGGCCGGGCGGGCGAGACGTTTGGGCGAGCGGGCGGGCTTCCACGCAAAGGAGCGGGCGAAGTCCAACGGGCGAGGTGGGCAAGCGGACCCTGACGGGCGGATCAGGCGAGCAGAACTTGACGGGCCAGTCGGGAAGGCTGCACATTGACCCGCGATCCCCGAGTAGTTGCTGAGAGGCTTCGAACGAGAACGCGAGTAGTAGATACGTTGTCAGGAAGTGGAAGGGTGAGAAAACACTCCCACAGTGGCGAGGCTGCGAGTCATGAACACAGTGCAGGGAACTCCCAGGCGGGAGCGCGAGCCCTGGGCGGTGAGAGCGAGATCTCTGCAGGAGCTATGAAACAACCTCGGGCGACAGCGCGATTCCGGACGAGAGCGGAGGAGGTAGAGGAATGTGTTACACACCGTGGGTGGGTCGGGACAGAACAGGCCCGCGACTGGGCGCATCTTGAAACTCAACTCGTCGTCGCTGCGCTGTCCAGGCTGTGCAGCAAGTCTGGCTGGGCGGGGCGGCGCTCGCTCAAGCTCAGCTGGAGGAGAAGGGACGATTCAGCCAGGAGGCACACCACGACAAGGCAAAGCCGATCGCGAAGCTAATTCAACAAACATGGCCCCTGCCCTTCCCGAGATTGCCCAAAGAAGATCCGAGCTGGCTCCCGGATACCCGCAGGAAGGGGGAGGAAAGAGGTCCTGTAGAACATGAGCGTGAACAAGATGCACCCGAGCATCCAGATGTCCACCTGCTGCTCCGCATCCTCCCTCTCCATAGCCTCTCCGTCTACCATGATGTCGCTACCCCCCCCCCAGCATACACACACGCACACACGTCTGCGCCGGCGGCCACGTGCCGGGCACCGTGGCGGCCACAGTCAGCGAACGCAACAGAGTCCCAAGCGCGAGGGGGAAGCCGGACCCTCCTCCTCCCTCCTCCTCCCTCCTCCTCCCCCTCCTCCTCCCTCCTCTCCTCCCTCCTCCCCTCCTCCTCCCTCCTCCTCCCTCCTCCCCCCTCCTCCCCCCTCCTCCCCCCTCCTCTTCCCTCCTCCCCCCTCCTCCCCCCCAGGGGGGAATGGCCTTCGTGGGCCCCGGAAACGTCAGGGCAATTTTTTCACCGTTTTCCAAAAAAAAGTTCCTTGAAAATGGAAGCGGCAACAAAAACGGCGACCGGAAACGGCAACAAAGACGGCTCCAGGATTTGAGCCGGAGCTGGAACCGGTCAAAAAACGGCGACGGGACCGGTGAAAAGACGGCGTCGGAAGCGGCAGAAAAACGGCAAAACGGAACCGGTAAAAAAACGGCCCTGTCGTTTCCAGGGCCTACTAGGGGTCCGAGCACGAGCCCCGCACGGGGCCGAGAAAGAGGGGGAGCGCACGCCCGGACCGAGCAGATCACAGCGTCGTCGGGAGCCCTGCGACGCGGGTTCCATGCGACAGGGCCCACTAAGGGAGTGGCGGCTGGAGCGACGAGAGCGGACGACGGACGCAGGACGGACGCAGGAAGTCCGGCCCCCACCCACACACGAGCACAAGCACACACGTACACACGTACACACATATGCACACGCACGCCCGCACACAGGCTCACACGCTCTCGCGGCGCTCGATTCAAAAAACACACGCACGCACACAAACACACGAGCACGCAAACACACAAACACACACACAAACACACACACACACGCAAACAATCACCCACACAGACGCACACAAGCACGCACAAACACGCACACCGACACATTCATTCATTCATTCACAAGCACACACGCGCACACAAACGCAAACACACACACACACACAAAAACGCGCACACAAACGCAAACACACACACAAACGCGCACGCAAACGCAAACACACACAACCACAAACACAGACACACACACAACCGCACACAAACACACACAAACATACACAAACACACACACACAAACAAAAACACACACACAAACACACACACACACACAAACGCAAGCACACAAACACACACTGACACGTACAAACACAAACAAACAGACACAAACACACAAACACATACACACACGAACACACACACAATCACACACAAACACACAAACACACAAACACAAACACACGCAAACACAAACACAAACACACACGCACCTACATTCCCACACACCCACGCTCTTACACCCACACACTCACACACACTCACACACACAAACACACAGCCACACGCACACTCACACGCGCACACCGACACACCCAGACACACGCACACACACATACACACACACATCTCTGTCTCCCTCCCCTGGGCCGCATTCCCCCTCTTCCTCTTTCTCATCATGCCTCCTTTCATGTCCTCTCCTCTGCTACAACCGCCTGTCACCCTCGTCCTCGTCGCACGCTGCCTTCCTCCCTCCCACATGCTTCCCCGCCGTGTCCTCCTCCTCCTCCTCCTCCTCCTCCTCATTCCCCGAGCAGTGCTTTTGTGCTAGGGGCTCCTACTTTTGCCTACACGTAGCTGGACGGGTGCGTCGGCGCCTATCCCCGTGGGCGGTCGTGAGCGCCTCGCGGGCGCCTCGGCGCAGCGTGAGCGCTCGATGGGCAGGGCGGCTCTTGCTCGCCGTGCGGGCGGCCGCGGGCGCCTCGCGGACCGCCCCGAGCGCTGGCTGCCTCGCTGGGCGCGCCGAGGTGTCGCCCGACGGGCGGGCGCGGGCGCCTCGTGGGCGCCTCCCGCTGCTGCATGCTGCGCTGCTTGCATCACGCAACCTGCGCCACCCTGGGCTCACGTCAGCAGAGCTTGCACCACACGTATCCCGGCTGCCCTGGATCAGCGCTCGGCTGAGCGCTCTGAGCTGCGTGTTGCGCCAGGCTCCAGTCCAACACCCGATCTGTGGTCTAGCCCGCAGGGGGTCCAGGTGCGCGATGCTTGGGCTCAGAACCTGCGGCTGGAGTACTAGATGTCAAAGGTTGAGTGGGCCTTTCCATTGGACCTGCTCTGGAATCTAATCTAAGACAGTGCTCTCGGCCTGGGTCTCCTCTGCAACAACTTATAGATGTTCGATGGCGATTTCGACTGATACTGGGTACGGGTCGCCCTTCTAGTAGGGTACGTTAAGCTTGCCGCAAAGCAGCGAATGAACAATCGTGCGTAGACGTTTCTCGAAACGTTCGACTCCACTCTCGAATTTGTATGCGTTTTTGGTCTGACATGTAAGGCACTGCAAATAAGTCCGCTCAAGCCTGGAGCCCAATGGTCGAGGATACGCTGCAAAGCTGAGGCGTGGCCACACTCAGCCTAGGAAATGAGGTGTCGCCACGCTCATGTTCACAATACGCTAACTCTAGAATGCTTCTTTTGCTGGGAAACCGCAGTTGGTAATTCCTCTGGTCGGGAACCGTTTGGTCCAGACCTCCCAGTGGTTTCATGTCTCTGGAAAGGCTCCAGGGAAGACGTAAAGCTTATGCGAGTGACCACAGGCACTGGGAAATGCGGCTAACAAGTAGCATGGCCCCCCCCTTCTAGGCGTACCGGCCTGTCCGCCGACTCAAGGGACAATGCTGTCGTGCTGTCACTCACTATGGATTTGTGCGTTTCATTGAAAACCATGAACAACCCAATATGGGTATACGTGCACAAACATATATTTATATATAAGTACATATATCTATATATACAAGTACACGAAGATTGTACAGGCTCGCTGCGCTTCGCCATTGAGATACTAGCGCTCACAGGGCCCATGAACTCGTAGGACTCCCAGGGCTCATAGGGCTTATCTGGTTCATACGGCTCATAGGGCTCATAGGGCTTATAGGACTCATAGGGCTCATAGTGTTCATAGGGCTCGTAGGGCTCGTAGGGGTCGTAGGGCTCATGGGGCTCATAGGGCTCATAGGGCTCGCGGGGCTGACAGGGCTGATAGGGCTAATAGCACTAATGGGCCTCATATGGCTCATGAGCTCGTAGGACTCCCGGGACTCATAGGGCTTATAGGGTTCATACGGCTCATAGGGCTCACAGGGCTCACATGACTTATAGGGCTCATAGGGCTCATAGGCCTCGTAGGGCTCTTAGGGCTCATAGGGCTCATGGGGCTCATAGGGCTCATAGGGCTCGTAGGGCTGACAGGGCAGATAGGGCTCATAAAACTCATGAGCCTCATAGAGCTCATAGGGCTCATGAGTCACATGGGGCTCCTATGCCCCATAGGGCTCATAGGTCTCACTGAGATCACCGGGCTCATAGGGCTCATAGGGCTCGTAGGGCTCATAGGGGTCATAGGGGTCATAGGGGTTATAGGGCTAATAGGGCTAATAGGGCTCATAGGGCTCATAGGGCTCACAGGGCTCATAGGGCTCAGAGAGCCCAGGGGGCTCATATGACTCATAGATCTCATTGGGCTCATAAGGCTCAGAGGGCTCATAGGGCTCACAGGGCTCGTAAGGTTCATAGGCCTCAAAGCCCTCGTGGGACTCATATGGCTCGTAGGGCTCACCAGGCTCAGAGGGCTCGTAGGGCTCATAGGGCTTATAGAGCTCATAGGGCGCACAGGACCGAACTTATGTACGGGGGGTGGGCCCTTGTAATAATATTCGAGAAGGGGCATGCTTTATATACATATTAATGTAGGTGCAAAATATGTACGCGCAAGCACCACCACCCCAGCACCCATTGATCGTCTTCCATTCTTTTGACGGCGTCCTTGAACGGGGGGCGCAGGAGACGGAAGCGCAGTGGAGCAGCAAGTCCCTCTTCCTCACTATCCCCCTCCTCCTCGTCGTGTCCTTGCCGGACTGGCTGCCGAGATCGTTTTCGCAGAGGGCTCTCAATGGCAACGCAGGGACACGCTGGAACACGTCCTGCCCCGATGAGGGGCGACGACAATCGGGTGTTCCCCGAAGGCCCCCCGGGAACCTGAAGGCGCGCCCGTGGAGGGAGCCCTCGTAGAGGCCTCGGCGTGCCCCTGTCGGCGCGACGGGGGCTCGCCTGAAGTGCTGGGGCACCTCCTGCTCCGTGGACGGGCGACGGACATCACTGAAGGGGAACTGGAACACACAAATAAATACACACAAATAAAAATATCCCCCATATTTTCCCATATTTTCTGGGTTCCTGTCTTCCCCCCCACTTCCTATATTTTCCCATATTTTCTGGGAATCGCCGATTAATTGTGTCTGTGTGTTTTTTCCCCTCCTGAATCACGCTCCCAGAAGGCTATCTGGAAACCTGGCGGCTGCGGCCGCGTGGGGGCCATCGCGGAGGCCTCCCTCTCATTGGGCAAGCCCTCTGGGGCTCCCTCGGCCGCGCGTGGGACCCCATGTGGAGCGTCGAGGCTCGTCGTGCGCCCTCTTGCGGCGCGCGGGGGCTCTCTCGTGGATGCCTCTTGGGCGGCCCCCGTGCGTCGGGAAGCGTAGCAGACGACCAGTGAAAGCATTGACAGCGACAGAAAATCATTGTTTTCTGCCGACGCGGATTCTTTCGGCAGGCTTTTTGGAGCTTCCGTGGGCCTTCTAGTGGGCAGCATGGAAGCTTTGGTGGGCGTGCTGGGGCCGTTTTGGAACCCTGCGGGCTTTCTGTACGGCCCTTTTGGCGTCCCCAGGCTCATTTGGAAAGCCGCCTGGAACCGTCTTCCGCCATCTTGGCCGCCTCTTGGGCCGGTTTGCCGCCGCCTTGGGGCGCGTTGGGGCCCTCCTGTGCGCATCGTGTGCCGTCCCCGACCGTGGGGGAGCGGAGCAAGAGACCGAGCGAAGCTCAATGAAAAACCGATGTAGGACCAACG